TCCCCGCCGGGCTGGGGGCAGCGCCCCCGCTCCCGGCTCCATCTCCCTTCGCCAAGTAAGGAGCGAGCGGGACCCGGACCGGGGGGGCCGCGGGCAGCGCTGCCCGGCCCCGGGGCCGCCCCCTGCCCCTGTTTGGAAGACGCCGCCGTCCCCGAGACGCCCTATGGCCAAACGCAGCGCTCGGGGCTTGTTTTGAACGGGGGAAACGGAGCTGTTTGTATTTGAGCACCCGGAGCCACGCGGGGCCCTCGTGCTGCAGGGTGCCCCGCACTGGGACGTGCTCGCAGTGCTGCCTGTCCTCCTGCCACCGAGGCCGCTTGCAGATCTCAGGCACAGGGATGGGATGACCCGTTTCAGCTTTGGCCGCGACTCCTTTGGTGCTGCCGTGTTGGCACGGAGCGGTCTGGTCACTGCTGGTTGTGCCTCGCCAAGAGCTCTTGTCATGGGTCTTGCTGCAAATCCCTGCGTCTCGCAGTGTGTTTCTTGCAACGCGGCTGCTGCCAGCGCAGAGCGTGGCCAGCGCAGCTCAGTGGGGATCACAGCAATGAGGATCGCAGGGTTCCGCCTTCGCGCTCCCGCGGGGATGAGTGGGACTGGGATGAGGAAGCTGGTGGGTAAAGGAGGGCTCTGCAGGACACCCCATGCAAACCTGGCCAAGCTGTGAGGGCCCTGCGAGCGAGGCCTGGCCTGGCGCTAGAGGAGAGATGTCCCCTCCGTGGGGATGTTGAGGACAACCTCGGCGTCCGGTGTACACCTGAGCAGAGAGAGGAGAGTTACAGGGGACCAGGCAAAGCAGACTGGGAATAAGTAGCCGGTGGCTCACAGGGAGCTTCCCTTGGCTGCTGCCCATGCTCCCTGTGAGGGAGAAGCTGCAGACTCCAGCTCAGCGCCTGTCTGTCCCAAAAGACAGACAGGAGACAACCAGGCCAGAGCATCTTCTCTGCTTTCTTGCAAGGAGCAGAGGGACGCGGTGCCCGAGCTGGGTCAGAGATGTGACCACCCCCCTGCGGGCCGGTCCAGGGTGAGCTGGGCTTCCAGAGCGCCCCAGTGCAGGCCCTGGAGCTGCTAGGGGAACCCAACCTGGGCCCTTGAGACAAAGAGACTTTGAAAGAGCGGAGAGGGAAATGCAGGTACGAACGGACGTGCAGGGGCTCAGCGCTCCTCTGGACTCCAGGGCCCTTCCCCGCGCACAGTGAGCCCAAGCGGGGCCAGCTGGAGCCCTCTATGCTCCCTTGTACCCCAGAGCCCTCTCGCAGCTTACGAGTAACTTGGCTCTTTCAAGAACCAAACTCGGTGTCTGGAACCGAAGGGTTAATTAGAAGAATGAGGGACTGCTGAAGTCGTGTGAAAAGTTCCAGGGAGGTCAGTGGGGAACGTTTGAGAGACGCTGGTGAGGGCCTGGCACGGGCTGCCGCCTGCCAGGGGCGGGTAAGCACCAAATGCCTGACTTGTGATGTTACAGAAACTTTCCACTTGGGCCTTTCTGCTATTTTTAACTCTTTTCCCAGCCACCCTCGGTAACCCCAGCTCCACCAGCTGTTGAGGCTAATTAATTCCCTTTTTCATCATTCTTTTATCTGAAAAAAATAAGTTGTGTTACTCCCTCATGCAGTTGTCAGGCTGACCATGCAGGCCCCTGACACGTTCCAGGCTTCCCCCCTGCTTCACATGATGTCTCCGCAGCTCTGCAGCCATATCGGGCTTGCAATTAAAACGCAGGCCTGCGAGGGGGCAGATCCAGCCCTGCTTAGTGTCTCCGGCACCGTCAGCTTGCCGAGCGAGCTGTGCCACTGCAAAGGACAGTATTTTCATGCAGTGTGAACGGTCTGTGCGTGTGAGGTGCAGAGCTGCTGAGGAGCTGGCCCGAACCTGCACCAGCAGCGTGGGCTAAGGAGCAGTCACCCACCAACAGGCATCTCTGCACCCAGGCGCTGCCTGCGCAGGCCCTTGTTGCAAATGAGCGTGCAGGTGTGCACGCTGCTGGGCACACAGGTTACACACTACCACATCCCCAAGAGCAACCAGATTTGACCAAATTTCGCTCACGTCTGTGCTCCCGGACAGTCTGCCAGCCCAAAAAGCCAAGGCTCCCCGTGCGTGTTCTGTGCTCCACGCAGTGCCCCGTCGCCACGGGACAACGCGCAGCGGGACAGGCTCCCTGCCATGGGCACAGTGGAACAAAACATCACAACGGGCTGTTGGTTTGTTTTCAGCCTACAAACCTGGCCAGCTGCGGGAGACAACAGCCTGATATTTCTGTGAAGGAGCTGGCAGAGTCTTCTCCATACCAATTTGTAAGTGAAGATTCGCCCTGTGCTTTTTAATTTTTACACCCAATATCAGTCCCTTGCACACTGTTAAGCAGGAGCCTGGATTACTCACAACCTCTGCTCTGGATGTAATTAGCTACCCATGAGGTAGGGCTAGGAAAGCAGGGAGTTCTGCCTTTTTGCTGCCAACCAATGTCTCAGATACATTTTTTCCTTTTTTTTTCTGTTTTTGTTGTTGTTTCTTTGGTTTTTGGTTCGTTTTGTTTTACATATTAGAGAAATGGCTGCCTGTCGTTGTGCTCCCTGAGCACCAGTGGGATTTCAGTAACCAGGTAAAGTGTCCCTAGATGGGTAGGACCTGCCTTAGGGCGATGCTCCCACAAAGGCCACCCCAGCCCCTCCGTGTTGTTTCTCAGTCATGAAGTAAAAAGGACAATAAAGTAAGAGCTGCTCTACTGGCACAGGCCTTTAAATACCATGTCTGTGGAAATGGTTGGGATGAGGTTACTAATACTCAATACTAAAGACTCTGAAGTGGAAAATGCCTGGTGCCACCAACGGTGACAGACACAGGCCTGCCCAATGACCAGCACGGCTTCTTTGCAGGGAGCATGGTGGCTTACTTGGGTCTGCGGAGAAGAACGTCAGCAAAGATGAGCTCTCTTGGATCTCCTGTGCTCTGCTCGAGTGTCTGGATGCTTATTTTCAGCTCACTTATCTCATCTGCCAGGTCTTTAATAATCTGAATGAATTACATTTTGAAAATTTTCTTTATTTTACAACAGAAGCAAGACTTTTTAGAGATTTACAACAGCAGAGCTAGAAAACTCCCCACATGCAAGAAAACCCCCAAGGGTTTCCCAAAATATCTGTTGTGCTGCTCACCCTCAGCCCTTAACAGCCCACCGATTCCAAGGGAAACAGAAGGCAACGTGGCCCACTGTGGCACACGGAATCCGCACTACGTGAGGCCATGGCTGAGGGGGCCAGCTCTTCCCAAAACCACTCACCTCCCTTTGCCTCTCTACTTCACGCTGCAGAACGTGGTTGTTCATGAACATCTGCTTCAGGCCATCCTGATGCTCTAGTATCTCCTGTGTGGGCGAAGAGAAGGAAACGAGCTGAGGAAAGTTCACAGTAACTACTGGCATGAAACCACCGGTATGGCCGGTATTGGCCATATCTAGTCAGATGCGTTATTCTTCATGGAAATAACTTCTACTGGAAAAAGGGATTAGGTTCTAGCACCGAAAAAAATACTGTAACAGCAGCCACGTTACGCTGATTGTGAAACAGAATTGGGAAATCACGAGATCCAAATTAGTTCCCCAGGAAAAGCTTATTAAGATTGCTTGGATCCTATCCTCCTACTCCTACTCCTATCGCCTGTGCTCACAGGCTCACCTGTAGAAGGGGAGAGCAGTCCTGCACCAGAGCAGGCTGTTAAAGTCAGTAGCCAATATCTATAGAGTGCTGCAAAGTTCTCAGCACAGGAGAAGTGCCAGGTGCATCACGCAAGAGAAACTGTACGAAAGGAGTTACCCTATTTCGTGAAGAATGACAACAGTTCCTGGTCTGCGGTGCTGCTTTTCTCATGCATTTTCTCATGAATTTATCACAAATGCATGTGCACTGGCATGGTGGTGTCACAGCTGAGCTGCAAGCAGCTACCTAAATAATGTAAGAAAGCGGGGACCTTAAAAGCAGAGTGAGTGCTGGGTCACAGGGCACTTGCCTCACAGGGAAAACTCTCAGGCATGAGGCTGGGAACATTTCAGCTCATCAGACTACTGCAGGAACGTGGGAGTGCTTCCCTCTTCCCCGATCGCCACCTCCAGGTACTGGCTGTGCAGGCAGGGAGCAGCAGTGTTGTTATCTGCTGCCTGCACTGGTCTGTTGGGCAAAGTCAGGAATCCCCCGTGCCATCTGACACAGAACTGATCCCTGCTGAGGAAGCCAATGAACTCCACCAACCTCCACGACTTTGTCTAACAGCTCCTCCTGTTCCACCCGCAGCTTCAATGCCAGTTCTTCCAGGAAGGCTTTCCCCAAGGCTTCCGTCTCATCTATCTCATCCTGAGCGAGGAAAAGGTGCACAAAAAGAACAGAGGCACTAAGCAAGAGAAACACTGCTCCCCTTCCAGCCCTGCACCTGCCTTCCTCCCTCGCAGCGCTGAAGGGAAGGAGAGGTCTCAGCACCTGCTGCTGCTCCTTCAGGTTCTGGATCTTGCGCAGCAGGAAGGCTATCCGGACAGCTTTTGCTGGGTATTCCCTGTCCATGTAGTTCCGCAGCATATGGAGTTCATCCTGGAGAACCTCTACCTTTGAAGTGGCTTCATCCAGCTGCTGCTGCAGTTCTGACGAAAAGTCAAAGCAGGAAATCTCAGCCCTGGGGTTCCAGAGCTTCACTTCTTTGTGAAGCTAAGGAGTCTTTCCTGTATTGGCTGAGTCTCTACAGATATTAGGTATCACATGGGAACTGGGAAAACAAGCAGCCCTCGTCAGACCAGATCCTGCCTCAGCAAGGATCCAGGCAAGCAGACAGCTGCCACAAACGATGCTTCTTCCTGCCCCTCTCAGCATGGGCTGACGGCTGTCACTGGGCTCTACGCTTCCCTGGTCATCGCTGACAGGAAGATCATGCCCATGGTGCACATGGGATTATTTTTCAGAAATGGATTTTTTTGACATTTATCACACCAACGCAGCGTTCTTTATCTCGTGAGATGGAAAGCAAAGGTAACAGGGCTACACAGTCTGCTTTGTACCAATGTGAGCAACTTACTTTCTAGATTCTTTTTCATTTTTTCTTCCGTTTCTTCAAATTCTGCTCTTGCTGCATCCAGACAGTTCTGAGTAAAGTTCTGCATTGTTGACTTGACCGTCTGCACAGAGAGAAATTCAGTCACCAGTCACTACGTGGAGCTTGGAAATATCCCCCTGGAGCATCCCTAATGCTTCTCTCATGTTATTCCTGCATTAACAGCAAAAGGGAATCCATCCCTCTGGCTACCACCAGCTTGTGACCAGCGGGGAGCACTGGGGCCATGTCTGGGAGCGCCCTGGTGCTTCCAGGAGCCAGCTGAAGCTAAGAGTATTATGGAGGGAAGTGTTTGGGCTGTTAGGAGATCGGTGGCTTGGAACAGTTTCACTGGGGATGCTCTCATGGCTTTAAAACATGTTTCAGCAAGAGCACCTCAAAGGGTCTTGGGGCATGAGACAGCTCCCCCAGCAAGGGGAGTGCTCGAGTCACCCTCTGGCCTCGCAGTGCTTGTCCCTCCGCGGGTACAACCAGGTGCAAAGCAACAGTTTTACATTCGACTGAATTGGCTCTGTTGGCCAGCCCTAGAGCCTCACCCCAAATAATTCATATTGCTGCAGCAGGTCTCTGGCTTGCTTGGCAGTGCGGTCATCAGTGTGCTCAATGTCCTCCATCAGCCTGCAGTTGGTCTCTGCCAGGTAGGTACAGTGCTGCTTCAGCTTCTCTATGAAATTCGTCTTCAACTTGGCCAGATGCTAGAGGCATTTTTAGGTTAAAGGGTTGCAGTTTCTACCAGTCCTGCCCGCCCCAAGTTTTCCTGGCATTGCCTACCATTCCCAAACCGTTTCTGCTCCATGGTAACAGCCGCAGCAGGACCCCACAAACCTCACGACGACCAGCAGCGTTACTGCCGAGGCAGGCTGAGCTGCCTGGACATTTTTTTTCTCATTGTCACATTGAACACCTTTTCCTACTAAAGGGTCATGGTCATGTCCTCTACCTCAATTGTCTCTTTGCTAGACTAAGCAAACCTGATTCTGACCATCTTTTCTAATAGGTCACATCTCCTCAATCTCACATTCCTCTTGCTACACTCTGGACTCTCTCTTGGTTTCTCTTTATTTTTCTTAAAAGACGGTATCATGTTTGGATTTCACTAGCATTAAAAAAAGCGTATTTACCTCCAGTGTATTAATAAATAATCACGTGTCACTTTACAAGAGTGAATCAGACTGGTAAAATCCCCTCTGTAAAGTCAACCAGAGTAACTGTGCGGGTTTGCTACCTACATCACAGCACATTTGTCTCATGTACCTTGATAGTTCTGATATCTTCCAAGTTTTTAGATAATTCATCAGCCTTGAGCGATGATTTCTTCTGGGTAAAACCTCCATACTTCTCCTGGGCTGCTAACGCCTTTGAAGGCAACGGTGGGTTTTTATTCAACCTAAATGTGACTGGTGAAATAGAAAAGCCCTGTGTTTATTGCACAGCCCTGCTTCAATGCCTTCATCAACTACCTTCTGTCATATGTAGCTGGGGGAAGTATAAGGAATCACCGTGAGATTTAATTCATGCTTGCTACACCCCAGCAAGAGCAGCAGCAGTTACAGGAGCTGTGTCCCAGGTCTCTCCGGGCCCTCCCTCTTTATTCTCAGCATTTCCCTTTGGGTTTCTTGGGGCTTTTACTGAATGCTCTCAGCAGAAAGCGCTGGGTGAAGGCAAAAGTGGCAGTGCCCCGGGGTGCTGTGCAAGGGGAGCATCGCCAACCTGGCTTGTTTTTCTTCCCTTTCTTCTTCTTGCCCTCACTTGTGATCGGTGGCAAAGTCAACTGGCAGGCTGGAGATTTCTTCTCCTTTGCTTCTGTCTTCTGCCATTTACTATAATCCTAAACTCCACGTAACATAGACAGGACATTACTGTGAGCAGCCCTCTGAGCAGAGACCTCTGTAACTTACCCCCACTCCCGACTCCCCTGTACAGCCCCCTTGTGCTTCCCACCGTCCCATCATCAATCACAAGTCGAGCACAGCACCAGCAACCCCTCTGCAGCAACAGACTTACTATTTTCCTGAAGTCTTCCATAGCATTTGGGAGCAGGCCCTGCTCATCCATCCTCAGTGCGCAGGCTCTGCACGGGCAGAGGATGAGGCCAGGCAGGAGGTCGGGCCCCTCGCTTGGCCCCGTCCCCTGGTTGAGCTCCCCGGGGTCCCAGCCAGAGCAGAGGGGCAGGGATGTCCCTGGGTGTCACTGTGGCACCTGCGGTGCCCTCCCCACCTCCACCTCCCACCCCTGCTCCCCCTGCTCATCCTGCCCCACGGGGAGCTGGGGAGCTCCATGCCAGTCCCCTATGGGGAGACCCCCTGTCCAACCTCTCTGCCCCACGGGGAGCTCCGTATTTTGGTCCCCTATGGGGAGACCCTCTGTTCATCCTCCCTGCCCCACGGGGAGCTGGGGACGCCTTCATGCCAGTCCCCTATGGGAAGATGCCCCATCCAACCTCCCTGCCCTATGGAGAGATGGAGAGCCCCCCTCGCTCATCCTCCCTGCCCCATGGGGAGCTGGGGAGCCCCATGCCAGTCCCCTATGGGGAGACTCCCTGTTCAACCTCCCTGTCCCATGGGGAGCTCCCCCTTCTCATCCTGCCCCATGGGTAGCCGGGGAGCCCCATGCCAATCCCCTATGGGGATCCTGCCCATCCAACCTCCCTGCTCCATGGAGAGCCCCCCTCGCTCATCTTCCCTGCCCCACGGGGAGCTCCCCCTGCTCCTCCTGCCCCATGGGGAGCCCCCCGGCACTCCCCCATGGGGATCCTGCCCATCCAACCTCCCTGCCCCATGGGGCGCCCTCTGCTCACCCTCCGCCCCCTAGGTGCCCCCTTGGATGAGGTAGGGAGGGGGATGAGATAGCATAGATGGGATGCGATGGGATGAAATGGGGCGGGATGGGATGAGATAAGATACGCTGGGATGAGGTAAGGTGGAATGGGATGAGATAGAGTTGGGTGGGATTGGTTGAATGGGATGGGATGAGATGGGCTGGGATGAGATGGATAGGCTGGGATGAGATAGGGTGGGATGGGATGGGTTGCATGAGGTAGGGTGGGGGATGAGATAGGATAGATGGGATGCGATGAGCCGGGATGGGATGGGGTGGATAGGATGGGATGAGATGGGTTGGATGAAATAGGATAGATGGGGTGCAATGGGGTGGGATGGGATGAAATGAGATACATTGGGATGAAATAGGGTGGGATGAGATGGGTTGGATGAGGTAGGGAGGGGGATGAGATAGCATAGATGGGATGCGATGGGATGAAATGGGGCGGGATGGGATGAGATAAGATACGCTGGGATGAGGTAAGGTGGAATGGGATGAGATAGAGTTGGGTGGGATTGGTTGAATGGGATGGGATGAGATGGGCTGGGATGAGATGGATAGGCTGGGATGAGATAGGGTGGGATGGGATGGGTTGCATGAGGTAGGGTGGGGGATGAGATAGGATAGATGGAATGTGATGGGCCAGGATGGGATGGGACGGGACACATGCTAGATGTGTTGGGATGGGGCAGATGCGATAGACAGAATGGGACACGGTGTGTAGGACAAGGGGGTTTCACAGGGTGGTTATGTTGGGTTTACGGTTTGGCGTGATGACCTTGAAGGTCTCTTCCAAGGAAATCCACACGGGTCCCATATTATTCTATGCATGGAATGGGATGGGACAGATGGGATGGGACCGAGTACATGGGACACAGTGGACGTGATGGCACAGAGTGCATGGGGCACATGGGACGGGACGCACAGTGTTCTCCCTGCTGTGGCGCCGGTCCCCCCACACAGGCCAGGCCCCGGCTCCATTCTCCGAGAGCCGGAGCCCAACGA